ATTTTTTTATTTTGATTTTATGAGAATATAGAATCAAAATAAAAAATTGATAGAATTTATCTGGTAGGTGTGCATTATTGTACATGATTTCAAATTATGTATATTTTATTTTATTTAAATTTTAGATATAAAGTTATATAATTAGGCATAATCACATAATGCTAAGTGAAATTAAGAAATAATTAGAAAATCCTGAAAAGAAAATAAATATAAAAGGTGAGAAGATTATTTAATATTATCTGAAGAAAAAATATAAAAAATTATATTATGTGATATTATGTGTATTAATATGTATGTTATTATATAATATAAAAAAAATACACATTTTTTTTATCTATAATCATGAACTAGTTCATGATTGAGTTTGAGAACTGTGAACTAGTTCACAATTGACTTTGAGAACTATGAACTAGTTCACAATTGACTTTGAGGACCATGAACTAGTTCACAATTGACTTTGAGGATTATGAACTAGTTCACGATTACTTTAAAGATTGTAAATAGTAATTAGTGTTCCAAGTTAGTAAAAATTTTACCAATCAATTAGTTGCCAACTATAGTTGCAACTAATCGATTATGGTATCATATAACTAGTTTAATCGATTAGTTGGTTGGTTGTTTAGTTGTTTAGTTGGTTAGTTGGTTAGTTGGTTAGTTGGTTAGTTGGTTAATTAAATAGTTGATATTACAAATAAAAAGATACATTACACAATTTTTTACAATTTTTAAGTTCTCATATTAAACTTGTAATGTAAAACTATAACTAATTATAAATGTCAAATCTGTAATTCAAAATTTTTACAATAATAGATATTTACTATATGTACTAAACATTTACTATAATGATTATAAAATAAAATTATAAAATTATGTATGAATTACATTCAATTAAATTTTTATTTAATAAATTAGATGGAAATATTATTTAGCCAACCGTATATCTAATACACTTTTAAGTAAATGATATAGTATTTATTTTTCTTTTAAAAATTTTTTAAATAGAAAAAATTAAAGCTTAATTCATTTAAAATTTTCCAGTTATACATTTTCTCGGATCTTTTTATCCAACAATAAATATTTAAATATGTTTGAACAGCCAAGGATTTAAGAAAAATATAACCGTTTTTATATCTTACAATTCAATTCTTTAACTATTATTATTAACATACGAATACAATTCATACACCCACAAATTCGATTGAATTAAATGATACCAAAAGAACTATTTATTAAAAATGTTAACCCAAATTATAATTTTATACAAAATAATTGAAATAGCTTTTATACTCACCAAACAAAATGGATTAAAAAGTCCTGAATGCACTATTTAAAAGTAGCATTTATATGTTTAATAATTCTAAATTCCTATAAAATAATTACCATTCAGTATGGACTAAATACCCCTTTTATAATACCTCTCTTGGTTTTTTGAGGCCTAAAATGTAAAGTATCTCAGGTACTAAGGACGGATTAATTGCACTTGGGAATGTATATACTCAGGTACTAAATATAAATGAATTGCACTTAGAATATATAAAATATATTATTGCGGCATTCAAATAGTGTAACTTATATCCTATACGCTGACCATAGTATAACAGAAAAAACTGTCGATGTAACATAACTGATCCTTCACCTGGTGTGCAGCATATAAAAAAATTATTTTACAATACCAGATCATTCTGCTAGTACATGTTATTGATTATAATCCAACACCAGTTCATTATATACTAATAGAATGGTCTAATATTGTAAAATAAATCTTTTATATATTGCATACTGAGTGAAGGATCAGTCATGTAACATCAACAGTTCCTCCTATTCAATAGTATCTCTCTAACTATAATACCTATATACAACTTAAATTGTAAAGTACTCTGAGTATTTTAGTCTACACTGTACAGTAGTTCACAATTAATGCTAAACATTTTTAATGCTGAAGACTATAAGTATATTAGTAGAAATAGTTTAATTAGGGTTATATTGTTAAATGGAATCCCAATTTCTAGTGTCAGTTGTTTCCAGCATCAACTATAACAATTAAATTTACATCTACTAAGTCAATATGGATTAAATGACCCAGAAGGCATTATTAAATATAAAAATTTGAAAGCTTGAATTATATATATAAATTGAAATTAAATAATAAATTGATATTTATACCTACTAAAATAATGCAAATCTGATGGCAAGAAGTACACTTTCAAAGAAAAACACTTATAAGTTTGATTTACAAAATTTAAATAGAATAATAAAATGATCCCAATACACACCAAGAAAATGTGAAGTAGAATATTTGAAAAGTGCTATATAAGATAAATATTTATAAGTTTAAATCACACATTTTAATATAATAATAAATAATTATTTCTATGCTTACAAAATTCATACGAAGTAAATGACCAGGTGGTGCTATTTCAATGAAATACTTAGTAACTTGAATCACAAAGTTTAAATAAAGCAGTAAATAATTTTTATACTCATTACAAATAATTAGACAACTTCACTTAAAGGTAAATAATTGTATGTTTAATAAGTTTAAATAAAGTTGTCAATTTGCGCTCACTTAAATTTAAACTGGAAAACATGTTTAATATAAATATTTACAAGTCAAATCACAGATTTAAGTATGCTATGTAAGATTTTTTTAACACAGAACAAAACTAGTGCAAATTAAAAGGCTAAAGTACTGTTTATAGATAAATACATATATATGTTTAAATTGCAGATTAAAAAAGTAATAAATGTTCTTATATGCACAATTTACCACAAGATTAAATGACCTAAAAAACACTATTTAAGGTAATATTTGCAAGCTTGACTTTCAGATCTTAGAAAGTAATAGTTATATTCACTAAGTTTTATATGAATTAAATAATCTAAAAAATTTTGATTAAAGGTAAATATAATTTATAATGTTTAAATGAATCAATAAATAACTTCATACCTACTAATGACTAAATTACAGAAAAAGTGCTGTTTAGGAATCATATAGTCTTAGTCATTCACTATGCTAATAAAATTTAACAACTTAAAAAGCACTATTTTAAGATAAATACATATTAATAAGCTTAAATTTCAAAGTTTAAATAAATCAACATATGAATGTAATACTTACAAAGTTAAATTCTATAAATTATTGCTTAGTAATGAAAATTGTAAGTTTGAGTTAAAGTAAAAATTTTAAATATAAATTTAAATTCTATTAAATGATAAAATATATAATTGTTTTATTAAGCATTTGATAAAGTGTTCAGTACATAAAAACAGTTGTTTTAATCAAGTGAAGAAAAAATATCAATACAATTTATATTTTTTTTAAGAAATACTAATTGATTCAATAAGTCTGAACTAAGTCTATTATGCTTATTCATCATATATTTTACAGCATTGGAAAAAAATGCTCTGATAGTACAGAGGAAGCTGGCATTACAAGGTATCATCTAACCAAAATTGTCATAGTAGGAAAGAGGGTTTTGTGTTTACACCACTATTCTAGAGGGCAAAACCCTTCATCAAGAGAAATTTCAAACAGTTGACAATACTGGTCAAATTCATTAGATTTAACATTAGAGTTTTCTGTTCATAAATGCATAAAAAATATTAACATTTTGAATTTTTTATATGAATGTGAAAATGCTAAAATCGAATCATCATTAATATTATCATCAAAGGTTGGTGTTAGACAAAGTTCATTAAATTGATGATGCATATTCTGGATAGTTGAATAGTGTAAAGCACTTGTGCAGAAATTTAGTTTTTTAAATCTTGGGTCGAGAAAAAAACAGCACATGCCTACTTCACTTGGATCTCTCCAATGTTTAATTAAATTGTCTAATATCATTTCTTTAACAAGAATAGCCTTATTATTTTTTCCTATAAAGTACCTAAGCTGATAAGCAAGTTCTTTCAAAATTGGTGTTATAAACCCAAGGATTGAGTATTTGGATCTACTTAAGAATTAAGTTACTTCATCAAAAGAAAAAAGAATTTCTATTAGTTCTCCTAATAATTCAAATTCTTCTGTAGAAAGAATAAAAGAACCCATATTTTCTGTCTCTTTTCTAATTTCTCTAATAGTATAATTAGTAAGAGTTGAGTATAATTGTATAATGGCAGGTTTTAAATACATAAGACACTCAATAGCATAAAAGATGGAATTCCAATGTGTATCCATATCTTTAATAATATCTAAAGGTTGTTTTAACCCTAGAGTAATTTGTAATTGAGCTTCACAAAGCTGTTTACATTTTTTTTCTTTTAACAAAATTGCAATAAGTAATTTATATTTTGAAATAAGATCATTAACTTCCTTTAAACCCAAATTAACACTTAATTGAAGTATATGTCCAGCACACTTTATATTAGTAATATTCAATTGTTGCACTGCAGATTTGACATTTGAACTGTTATCTGTAGTAATAGTGAAGATCTTTGAATGATCAATATTAAATTTATTAAGAACTGAATTAACTGACTTAATAATATCTGATGCATTGTGTTTGTCCAACTCTCCTATATCAAGTATGACCTTGTCAATTCAAATGAATCTGTAAGCCAGTGGCAAGTAATTCCTAAATAGCTATCATGCACTTGTGATGTCCAAATATCAAAGGTTAAAAAAACTGTATCTGATGTTTTTGAAATAAGATCTATAATTTGGTTTATTGTAGAATTATAGGAGTTAAATATAATAGTTTTAATTGTATTAACA